AAATTGAATATTTCCGTGTCTTTTTCATTTGAGCCTAATAAAGTCTATTATGGATCATGATAAGTTTTAACTTAACTCGACAAAGCAAAAACAGATTAAAGGATCTTATATTAAGGGATCGAGTTGTAGAATGAGTCGAAGATCATCCGCTTCTGATTTGTCAGTAGGTAATTAATATATATATATATATATATGTATTTATTAATATGATATTTTTTAATTATTTTATAATATAATAATTAACATATATTCACATTAGAAGTACAAAAGTTATACACTTATTTATATATCTTTTTCTTTTTCACATTTATATCACAGTGAAGGATGTATACCGGCATCGAAATGCGGCTAAGATGAAAAGAAGATACAACGATTTAACTGCTTATGATAAGCAAATGTATATTGATAAAACAAATAAACGTCGCAAGGGCCAAAATATGGGTGATGCATGTCTTGATGCCGATAACGTTTCTTGTGGATCGGAAGATTAGAAATATTTTATCCTGTAATACACAATATACAACTTTTTACGAGATCCAAATGAGTGGTATATGTTTTTTTATACTTGAGGATTTTTTTGGTTGTATTATGTTAGATTGTCATCATGCATTTCATTTTTCCACGATTAATATAGCTATAAATGTAATTGTATCAATGCTTTAACGATGTCTTCGGTGTATATTTATAATTAATTTTGATTTACCCATAAGTATAACAAATAAAACTTTCCCTTGGTAAAGAAATTGCATTTATCACTTAATAAAAAATATATTAACATATTATTGGTTTATATTATATTTAATGTGATTTTCTATAAATATACTATTATCATTATTTATTATTATTATATAGAGAAAAAACAAATTAGGCCTTTCATTCATTTATGTGATTTAATAAATAATTGGTATCTGTCATTTTTTTTAGGTTCAATTATGAAAGGGCATGTATGTTTCGCGATACATGAGTTGAAAAATTTATCAATTGCATGCATTGCGGTGCTCTGAAATTTCAGTACGAGTGTCCAACATTTTGCTGTGATAATGAAAAAGTCAAACTTGCTCCTATTGAAGTCTCTGAGGAGTTATATGAACTGTTCATTTCACAGACGGAAGAGGCAAAACAGTTTCGAGTAAACATTCGTCTATTTAATAGCATGTTCTCTTTTACATCATTAGGAGTCAAATTAGATAAAGAACTTGCTTCTGCAAGACTAGGAGTCTACACTTTTCGTGCTCAAGGAGTAGTATGATCTTCCTAACTTATTACCTAAAGAAGATGGACCTGTATATTTTCAGTTGTATTTTGTAGAAACATAACGAGAGACCGAAAATAGATGAGCATATTTTCAAACTCCTCTTTATCTGATTGTATGGTTAACAAACTCGTTAGTGTTTTGGATGTTAACCCATGTGCAAAAGTTTTTAGAAGACTGAAGGACTATCCATCAATGGGTGAAGTTCGGCTCCATATCTCAAAGGATGCCAAATTAGACCATCGCGTTTATAATTGTCCAACAATCGATCAAGTTGCAACAATATGGGTTGAAGAAAATAACATTAATATTCCCTTTGAAAGTGACATTGTTATCCATGCACTTTCAGGTGATCGACATAGAATANATATATTGATATCACATTTCTTTTAGTCTTTTTTTTTTCAATTACATTTTCAGGTCTCAGTGAAAATATTCCAGTATCTCATCAATCTCAAGTTTTTCTTGTCCAAATGACATTCTTTCTCTTGAATGCCAAGGTATGCAATTTTTATTAATGAAACATTCAAATTGTATACGCAATTGTCATGAGGATATTACATGTATTTTTTGTGCTGTCAAATATTCATTTAATTAATTTACATTTGTATTTTTATTTATTTATTTAACTTCCTTATCAAGTTTATATCATAATTACATTTCATTACATAATAATAAATTGATTTCATAAATTGTTTATATTCTTTATTATTTTCTTAAATTTGTAATTGTTATTGTAAAGAAATTACTGTTATAGATTATTTTTTTAAGTATTCATTGTATATTATTCTTAGTTGTGGAAAAAAAAGCCCCAAAAAAGTGTCATGCAGAGAATATAGTTGCTACAGATTGCAAATTATAAGTCCTAGAGAATCAACACTTCTCCTTGGTGAAATGCTATTTCAACAGTATGTTGTTGACATGTACAAAAAACTGGAAATAGCAAGATTGAATTATTATCGCTATAATCAATCAAACATGAGAGCTGAATCATATTAAGGAATTAAAGATAATGTAAGAAAGGGAGAGACTAGAAGAAATGAAGTTGGAAAACGAATTGTGTTACCTGCATCATTTATTGGAGGACCAAGAGATATGCGTCATAGGTATCTTGATGCATTAGCATTGGTGCAAAGATTCAAAAAACCAGACTTATTTATTACAATGACTTGCAATCGAGATTGGACAGAGATAAAAGAGTTATTCTATGAAAGGCAATGAGCCCAAGATCGTCCGGATTTGACGGCATGAGTGTTTCAAGCAAAATTGCAAGATTTGAAGGATCAACTGTTTAAGAAGAATATATTTGGAGATGTAGTTGTGCATGTTCACGTAATTGAATTTCAAAAAAGAGGATTGCCACACGCTCATAAGTTGGTTATCATGAAGCCTGAGCATAAAATTCTGACTCCCGATCAGTTTGATAAATATGTTTCTGCTGAACTTCCCAGTCATAAAATCTACCCTAAACTCTTTGAGATGGTTGTGAGACATATGATGCACGGACCATGTGGAGAAAAGAATAAATGCAAATATCATTATCCACGTGTGTTTTGTGAGAATACTGTTCAAAGAAAGGATGGATACCCGATTTACAGAAGACGTAATAATGGACTAAATGTTACAGTTTGCAATGCTGAACTAGACAATCAGTGGATAGTGCCATACAATCCTTATGTGCTATCAAGATATAATTGGCCACATAAATGTGGAGATATGTTCAGGAATTACAGCCGTGAAGTATCTGTATAAATACATATATAAATGGCAGGACAAAGTGGCAGTTAATATTACCCACAATAATGATGAAAAGTTGGTCGATGAAATAAGGGAGTTTCAAGATGCACGATGGGTATCTGCTCAAGAAGCAGCATGGAGGATATTTGAATTTAGCATGAATGATATATGCCCTGTAATTATTAACTTGCCACTTCACCTTCCGAACAAGCACTTTGTGCCTTATGGAGCACATCAAAATCTTCAAAATATTTTGAATTGGGAACATAATTCAAAAACAATGCTTACAAAGTATTTCTCAATGTGTGCTCAAAGTGAAGAAGCAAGAAAATATCTTTATCGTGAATTTCCTGAGCATTATGTGTAGACAAAAACAGAAAGATATTGGAGTAAAAGAATTCAAGAGATGTTATTGGTTGCGTGAATACTGCAAATCCAAATGAAGGGGAAAGATATTATGAGAAGCTACTCTTAAATCATGTCAGGGGACCAACATCTTTTAAAGATTTGGCAACTGTAGATAATGTTCTTTGTCATTCCTACAAAGAAGCAGCCCGAAAAGGGGGATTACTTGAATCTGATCAAAATATTTTTGAATGTTTGAATGAAGCGGTGACTTTTCAAATACCAAGTGAATTGAGAAGGTTATTTGCAATCCTGTTGGTGCATTATGCTCCAACTAATGAGAAAGTTTTGTGGAATACATACTTTCATGCAATGTCTGAAGATTTTAAAAGAGATACAAATGAATGAGAAGAAGTATATTCCACCAAGACTTTAAACAGTATAAACTTTTACTTGGAGAGTATGGGAAAAAGTGTGTGTCACTATGATCTTTCAAATATACCCATAGATTTGATTAAGATGTATGATGATATTTATAGATAAGTTCAAGACGAACTTTCGATTGAAGTACCTCCTGAAGATTACGCAGCTGTCGGAATGTTGAATGATCAACAACATAAAGAATTTTCATTGGTTTTAGATTGTGTAAACAGCGGAAAGGGGGCATATTCTTCATTGATGGACCAGGAGGAACTGAAAAAACATTCTTATACCGTGCATTGTTAGCTCATCTTAGATAAAAAAATATGATTGCCCTTGCTACCGCAACATCTAAGTTGCTGCTGCAATTATGCCTGGTGAAAGAACAGCACATTCACGTTTCAAAATAAAAATTGATGTGAGTGAAGGAACTAAAGGCAGTATGTCAAAACAAAGTGGAGCTACCGAGTTGTACGCAAGGCACGATTAATAATATGGGATGAAGCACCGATGGTGAAACGATGGGCGATAGAGTATGTTCATTATTTATTGCAAGATGTAATGGGAAATACTCAAGATTTTGGAGGAAAAGTGGTTGTTCTCGGTGGTGATTTTCGGCAAGTTTTACCAGTGGTCCCAAAGGCTACAATCCAACAAACAATATCTACAAGTTTGGTCAAGTCAAGATTGTGGCCTATAATGAAGAAGATTTCTTTGTCTAGGAACATGAGGTCAAGAAATGATCCTGCCTTTAGTAAGTTCTTACTTAGAGTTGGGAATGGTGATGAACCAACTGACACAAAAGGTAATATTGAAGTCCCAAAAGAAATGAATGTTGATTATGACAATGAGGATGACTCAATAGAACGGCTTATAAAAATCATTTTTCCAAATTTGGAGCAAAATGCGAAGTCTGCTGAATACATGGCATGTCGTGCAATACTGACCCCTAAAAATGACCATGTGGATAGGTTAAATGATAAATTGATCTCTATCTTTCCATGGGAAGAAATTCCAGCTTTGATGAAGTAGCTGATGATTCAAACAACTATTACGAATAAGACTTTTTGAATTCTTTAACTCCAAATGGATTGCCGCCTCATAAATTGGTCCTAAAAAGAGATTGTCCCATAATTCTTTTGAGAAACTTGGACCCATCGAACGGATTGTGCAGTGGGACAAGGATGTTCTGTAGAGATTTCAAGAAACATGTCATTGATGCAGAAATCGTATTTGGACAATATGCTGGAAAACATGTCTTCATACCTAGGATTCCATTATAACCAGTTGAAAATGAAGGTTATCCATTCATTTTCAAACGCAAACAATTCCCAATTAGACTTTGTTTTGCCATGATCATCAATAAAGCACAAGGACAGACCATCTCAAACGTTGGAATCTATTTGCCTCAATCTGTGTTCTCGCACGGCCAATTATATGTTGCACTCTCCATGGGAACTTCGATGCATATGACGAAAGTCTTAATAAAACCACCCATCACGAGTTCACAACAAAATGGAAGAACTAAAAATGTGGTCTACAAACAAGTTTTACGTGCAGGTATAATTGGTTTTTATTTATATTATTATGTTATATCTTTTGAAGATTATCAAGAATTTTTTTATATTATTTTCATACAGGATATGACTATAATGATGAAAGTCTCCCATAAGTACAAAGTTCACGTCTGGGGAGAATATAAGGTAACATTTTTTTATTGTAACATATGAGTATTATATATGTAATTGTCCCATAGATTGACCAGTTAATTAAGGTTTATTTTATACAGGTTGTGGGTGGGAGATGGTGGATATGCATGAAATGGTGCCCGGGAGGCATTCCAACAGGTATCACGAGCCTGGTCAGTTTCTTGATGAATTTTTAAATTCATGCTATGAAGTTATTTTATGATCGCTAAAAATATATTGGAAAAATGGTGAGAAAAAATTGATAATGATGAATACTGTAACTTTTGATTTATGCATGTTTATTCAGCTAGCTTCAATTGTGCACTCTTGTTCTTAGTGAAGGTGAATTATATCAAATTTTGTTGGTTAAGGTCGAAGTTGTATGAATGGTAAACTGGAGTACAAATTCTCAGCAGATGGAATTTAGAGTTTAACTCATAACCTTTTCATATATGATTTCTTTTATTATCGATTGTTGTTGATTTTCTTTTCAATCATTGTCTTTTGCAGATATGTGGGGTGCACTCGATCTGTTTCTATTGGTATGTATTTCATTATGCTTCTTTTATTTTTCAATTCACTTAAAATGTGTTAAAATAATGACATGTATCTTTTTTCATTTGACTGTGCTATTACAATAGAAGTGTTAATTCGTGTACATGTTGATTGATTTCATGATGAATGATTTGAACCCCTCCAAACTCCTTCAATTCCAGCAAAACATTCAAACATTTCCTCCTCATTAATGGAGAATTTTACAGCAACAGTTACAAATTCGCCAATCATTTATCGACCAACAGCAACAAATTCATCCTCAATATCAAGATCAACAGGTCAAAAAAGCAAATCCCACTAGCTCACAATTAGGATCGATTTTCGAGGCTCAGTTCAAGCCTATGCAATAGCCAATGAGCCAGCTGCAGAATTTCCTTTTTTATACAATTTTTTATCTTCGTGAAAAAATCTTGTGAAACCAGCAAATTTTTATGATGTTTGTATAAGTTATAGTTCTTCTCAGATTCTTCATTCTATCACCTCCCTGTTTTTTACATCTCGTTTTCTTTGTATTAATTTCCTTCATAGTTTTATTTTTATTCTGTCACTTCTTTCATACATACTACTGTCGTTTCCTCTTTCTTGTTCGGCGTGAAGGAATAATTAGGAATTTGTTTTAATGTAATTATACTTGATTTTTTGTTTATTGTAAGTAAATTGCAACATCAACAATTTTCATTCAATTATTTTGTTTTTGGTGTTTATATACTCAACAAAATTTGATTTCATTATATTCAATGAGTATTAAGTTTACATTTATCTTAACAACTAATCCTAATTTTAAGTGATTATCTTCAATGTAATTGATTGCTATTCCGAATTACAAGGACACAGGCAAATATATATTTATAAACATAAATATATATTAATATGTATAAATGCATTATGTGCATATTTAATAATGGGAGTTGATGAAAGTTAGCCTAAATTGCATCTCAGGCTCCTATATCCGCAATTTATGTCCATAACCAAAGCTATTATATGTATATAACTAATAATTAAGATAACAGTTAAAATGTGTCAGTGGTATGATCGTGTTATTCTCTAATTTTAAATAAATATATGTTGTACAATTGTAGTTTAAAAATATTATATATGATAAACAATTATTAATCATTCTATTCATAACTATAACTGTATGCAGGGGGTTCAAATAGGCATAATAATGTTTAATAGTGATATCGATGAATTCGCCATAAATTTCCAGTTGAATAGAACTTTCAAAATTGAGAATGGAGAAGTACGAAAAATCAACAGCAACTATGCTAAAACAGCATCTCATCCAGAAAGGAAATCCAATTGAAGAGGAACACCAAGACCACAGTCAATCCCGCCTCCGAAGAAATAAAACAAAATATCCCTTATAATTTTATGAAGTTCGGAGATATTGACATACAACTTCATGAAAGTGAAATGATTGGTATGTATATTTACTCTCATTTTGGTTCTTAATACTATTATATAAATGACTTTAACAAGTAAATTTTATTATTTTGCTCGCAGATGTATGTGGGATTGTGATGAAGATGAAAGAGCCCATGATTGTTGTACAAAAAAAACGGGTGCAAAGACTCCCATAAGAGAGATTACAATTATGGACCGGGAGTGAGTATTTAATTATGCATATTTCAAATATTGATGTACACAAATCTTAATGATTATTTAACTAAAAACATGGATACATTAAAAATATATTTGCTATACTAACAACAACAACACCAACATATATAAATAATTACATTCTTTGTGTTTATAGGTGCCAATCCATTATAGTTTCCTTATGGGATGATATGGCGCAAAATGAAGGATCTGCTCTACATGATATGGTTGCACAAAGGCCGTTCGTAACGTTCAGTAAGCTAACGACATCAAAGATATACAACGGTAAGACATAATACATTATATTAATAAATACGAAAATAATTAATTTTGAGAATTGATATTTATATTCTATAGTTTTTTATTGATGAAACAACTGGACTTTCAATTCTAATATTGTTCACTTTAATATCATAATGTCAAATGCAATTGCAAACAAACAACGCATCAATTCTGGAAATCAACGCGTCTTGTGAAGAAAAACAATCAATTTCGTCAATGGTATACTCTAAATTCAGGGAAGTAGATGCGGTATAGTACAATATAATTCAAAATAATAAGACCTTCTGTTTATATGTAATATGTATTAGGTTGCGAGCACATGACAAGCATATGAATTTGCTTGAAATGTCGATGAAAGAAAGGATGAAGAATGTCAAAGTTGTGACCTTACATCAAATTTTATTCAATCGAGACGAGCTCAAAAGGTAAATTAGATAAACAAGTAAAATAAAAGGTCAACTTTTCCTTGCTAAATATCTCTATGTGTGAACGACAACATTATCTTGACGTTAAGTGGAGAATTCACTTATCAAAATTCTACACTTAATATGATTGTATCATATTATATAAATAGTGTAATGGGCAAGATCTCATTTTTTACTTGATGTCATCAATATGATTCTCATGGACTTGGGAAGTTGATTAGAAAATAATATACATTTACAAAGATAATTAACTATTCATTTATTACTATATTCAAGAATAAACTATTTCTTGCAATTGGGCTTGCCAATGAGTGAAAGATGTTAAGAATGAAATATTTCTGTTGCTGTGGGCAAATCCGTTTTCATGGTGATTCTTTAATATTTGTGTACGACATGTATTTTAGTATCTTTTGTTTCAATTATAATATTTTAGTATCTTTTGTTTCACTGTCCATATAGTATCTGTTATCGTTTTTTCTTTTTGTTATTATTATTTTTTTTAAGGTGATCATATGGATATTAGATGGGAGTTTTTTGATTTCATAATGTAGCAAAGCATTGATGTATTCTATCTTTTTCCTCTGTTAGCATCTAAATGGTACCATATAGAAATATCTCAAAACTTTCAACCAAGAAGAATCTTTTTCAATTTTGTTTGCAATATTTTTCATTACTTTTCTTTTCATCACAAGAAAAATACTATTCTTTCAAAGGATACGTGGATAAGGTCATGAATAAATCCTCTTTGTGGTATGAATCATGTAAAAGTTGTGCCGCTGCAATTGCGAAGACCGACGACAGCATGTCATGCAAAAAGTGCAATAGCAAAGTCGTGGAACCAACTCCAAAGTATTAAGCATAGCAAATACACTGCATCTAATATTTTAAGTACACAAAAAGATTTACAAAAAAATATACAATCATTGCAGATATAGGTTGGTCTTAAACGTCGTGGGAGATACCCACAATGCGACAATAACTTTGTTTGAGGATGCCGCAATGGTGTACGTTGGATGTCCGATTAATGATTACATCAGATCAATTGAGCAGGTGAAATATATACTCATTTTGAAATTCACATGAATCGTCACGTATAATATTTATTAAACACTTACTTTTCGATGCTCATTAAGGGGAAGAATTATCTGGATATTACAAAGGGTTTAACTTACAGTCAACATTTGAGTTTCAATTCCTCATTCCAGTCAATGATAAGTCGTTCAACTCAATAAGAGAATTCAATGCGGTGGCAGAGGCAATTGCAAGGACGCAAACTACACATGATGAGGAAATGAATGATAACCAAGCAATTTCTCTAAACAGCCCTAATGATCTGCATGTGGATGAAGCACCAATTCGTCAAAAAGGACCAACAACAGAAAGAAGCGATCCATCAACAAGATAATAGAAGATGCAAATGATTGCGTTATTGGAGTTGAAGATCATGAGACAATTAGTACTATTATGAAGAAATGTGCAAGACAAAATACAAAAGTAAAAGGAAGGAAACCATCTCCAATCATCAACATAAAGAAAGAGAAGAATTGAAACAACAATAATTCGTATTAGTTCCTTATTTAGTTAATTCTCAATTTTATAGACAATTTGTTTTTGCATAGTAAGTTATTTGATTTTTATTTTGATTTGGAAACCATTCTCTTTCGAAAATTTATGCATTCATAATTTCGTATAATATTTCAATATCTTCAAATTCCCACTAAATATAATTCAATACAAAATGGCAAGAAGAAAATGTAAAAAGTATTGCAAATAATATTGTGCATAACTATGCAACTCGAAACAATAACAGGGACTTCATTAACCAAAAGAAAAAAATCACAAAGCAACCCAATTTTTCTCACGTGCATCGCACGTGCACTTTACTAGTAATTTATAAAAATATAAGTATTTGCTTTTATATATAATCATTATATTATATACTCTATAAATGTGCACATAATGAAACAAGATTTTTTTTTAATATAAAAATTAGGGAANTCTTGTCCACTTCATTTTCTCTTTTTTTTTTTAAAGTAAAAAAATCTATAAATTGCACACTCATACGAGTACACAAATGCTGGCACACGCGCACAATTTGCTCAAAACAGCGTTTTGCATGACAAACAAATCTTCATCATCTATTTAAAATATATATCTACACACCCGAAACATGGCACTCTGGAAAAGATCTTATATTTCATCTACACACCAAAACACGTCACACTGAAAAAGCTTTGACTATGAAGAGTGATGAGCTTGTAATGCCCCAAGCAGATTTTTCACAGCACTATCATAGTTCAAGAATCCCATGAACCAGAACTCATGATTGTCAACTGAAATAATCTGGATATACTTCTCAGCTGGATTTAGTTTGCTTATTGTGGGATTAACTGCTTTCAGCTGATTCAATGGGATAACCACCTGTACACGTTGAACGACAGGCACAATTAATCCAGTGTTTTCATTGGCATGACAGACTATGATTAGAAAGAATGTTCAAGAAGAAACATGGAGATAAAGAAACTTACAAGTGAACCTTTTGTATGGGAATTACAATTAATTTCATGGAAGTCAACATTCTGTTAAAGATGAGATTGTGTGGAAAGAGTGCAAAATTTTATTCTAGTATATTTAGAATTGAATGAATACTGCAATTTCAAGTTAATCAGAAACACAACCATTTGGGAACTTGAGCAAAACACAAAGACATGGAAACCAAAAAGAAAGAAAGAAAGAATGAACAAAAAGCTAGGACATCATAAAGAAATTTGAATTCAGAGCAAAGAGTATAGTGAATATGGCAAAGGGTCGAGATTCAAAGCATGTAAAGCCTGATAGTCTCAACTGCAAGTTAATAAACAGGCAAAACTTAGAAACATAACAACCTTATGTTCTTTTATTCATTCATTTACTTATTCCCCAAAAAAGAATGAAACTTGAGTGCATTCAACTAACTCGCAAGTGAATCTAGAAAAATAACATGGTCGGGGTAGAATGTCATGGCAGTTCCATTTTATGTGATAACAAACAAGTCTACAAAGTTGATGATCATTACTTTAAATGATTCACTCCACAATAGAACGCAAATAACGAGTTACAAGCAGCCACATGATTGCAAACATAATATCTTAATATATAACAGCACAAAGCACAACCTATATCATCATACCTTGTAATAGCTCCAGTGGACCTCCTCAGAGACTTTGTATGAAAGGGGATTATCACTACAAAATGCTATCTTTGCAGTTGATACATAGAGGACACCAACAACGGGGCCCGCAGAAGTAGACAAGTAGCAACCGTAAGATTTGAGCAGCTTCTCATCTGGGACATTTTCAAATGAATTCTGAAAGACCTTTTCATATCCACCTTCAGCCAAAACCTTAGTACTCTGTGCTATCCTTCCAACAGCTGCGTCAGCCACACTTGGACCCGTTTTCACTGACGAAGGTAAATTAATATAAAGAACATTTGCCAAGTCACTAATTAGGAAAAAAAATTAATATCATTCTAGTACAATTGTCTCTTTTATCATCAGCGTATTAAGCAAATCTAATAATTACCAAACAAAGAAAAATGATAATAAAAAATGGTGATCAGATAAAATTAAATTTAGCCACTTGAGTGGAAAAACATAAATTTATATTTATATACAATTAATTAGACGAATTATTGTGGAATCTAACTTTTCTAAAATCATAAGCAGGTACGCTTGTTTGCGCATTCGAAAGCAAGAATTCTAACCGCAATTATCTAAACACTTCAAGTGCTGCTCCAATGAGGCTAAGAGTAACATGGAATTAAAAGTACGAAATTTCTAAAGGATGATCATAAGCTAAAACTTGCCTAGAATCATGACTTTGGAATGATTTAAATACTGCTTTAATAGCAGAAACAGTTAATAAAATATATGCAATAAATGGTATCTCTAAGGTTTAAGAGGCAAGGTATGGACTGTTCAGATGGCTTTAATTGGACATTAATAGAAAATGGGTAATAGGTCAGGAACTTGGCTGATTAGTATTTGTTAATTAAAATGCATAAACATGGAAAGTGACAAATACAAAAATGTTTGTAGAAGTATAAAGTGCATTTGTGCGGGTGGGGAGAGAGAGAGAGATCTGTCTGCAGTTTCAATTACATTATCTCTGGTGCTTAGACTAAAAGTTATTATTAAATCTCACAAATGTTATATAACGATAGAATCAAGTTAGATGTATGGTCATCATATATGTCAGGGGATTTTATGCGAATCCTAGAAAGGTTTAATATACATTTGACATACACATAGTAAACTTCTAGTAATGAGTTTGCATTTGTAATTGATGAACTTACAAAGCATTTGCAATTGGATGTCCCCAATCGTTGTTTGCGAATGACAGTGTAAATAGATGAGACGAGAGAGGGGGTAAATTCTAAGTTAGAAACATTGAGAGATGCACTTGAAACAAAGGGTTTCAAAATAAGTAGGGCCAAAACGGAATATATGGAGTGTAATTTTAATAATCAAAGGAGTATAATGGGATAAAAGTTAAAATTGGGGAACACGAACGAATTGAACACATCTCAAAGTTTTAAGTCTTTAGGATCCATTCTACAAGATAATGGCAACATAGATAAGGATGTAACACATGAAATTCAATCGGGTTGGAACAAGTGGAAGAGCGTGTCGTCGATACTTTGTGATCGTAAAGTACTTTGAAAGGCAAGTTCTATCGAACGGTCATTCAACTGACGATGCTTTATGGATCCGAGTGTTGGACTACTAAATATGAAAATGATCAAAAAATGCGAGTGGCAGAGATGATAATATTGAGATGGATGTGTGGACATGCTAGGTTAGATAAGATTAGAAATGAAAGTAATAGAAATAAGTTGAGGTAGTGCCCATAGAGGAGAAAATGAGAGAATCACGATTAAGATGGTTTGAGCATGTGCGTAGGAGAGACTTCGAGGCACCGGCGAGAAGGGTAGAAACATTAGAGTTAAGAATGCAAATTAAAAGGGGGAGAGATAGACCTATGAAAACTTGGAAAACAATAAGAAATGATTTCAAATATTTAAATTTGAATGAGGATATGTGTTTTGATCGACGATGGCGACATGTGATCCATATAGCCGATCCCACCTAGTGGAATTTTAACGGCTTTTTGATTGATTGATTAATATAGTAAACCTCCCAATTCTAGAAATAGGTACTCATGAACACCATTCAATTTGTTAAAAGACGTGCTGCAGTGATATTTATAATTTAGTTTCTGCTCATAGTTCACACCACTCATGGCTCTTGTAACCCTCAGAAAATACATGTGCCGTAGCCTCAAACTTCGAATCACATATGCTTTGTTAACAGCTCAACACTCTGCTCATTTCAAGCTAATCTAAGGAAAACTCTATTCTTGGTGTTTCGATCTCGATGGTGTATTTTACAGCAATTAGGTCTACCGTGAAAGTACAAATAACATTAGATTCTCTTCTCTTAGGAATATCTACCTCACATCTTCCTCTTATCACATAACCTTCCCAAACTGGAACAATTTAACAAAACAAGTTTTCGAGTAATTAGTACAAATAAATCCATATATTCATAATTACACCTTTCCTGCCAAAAGAGTGTTCAAGATTTAAGCACATGGGCAACAGGAAAAAGCATCAACATGCTCTACCTAACAATATTCTGCACAGGCAACTAAACTCCATCCCTAAGTTCAGTAATATCAAGCAAAATAATAAAAATAGGAACTCACAGTGCTGCCACATATTTCCGGCCAAATCCTCCGCCTTCCTAGTTGCCTCTGCCGCCTTCTTCCCCCACTGACCTAAAACATCCTTGACCTTGTCTAAGTTATCTGATCTCCCCACAACCGAAGTTTAGGAACAAAATTAGCGACCACCAACAAATAACGCACGCTATAACCAGAAAAAGGAT